TTTTCTGCTGGATTGGCTAATTGAACAGACCCATCGAGGAGTCAAAGAAGTGTAGAGCCAGAACCAAAAGAAGGGAAGCAAAGTGTGGCAGGAGAGAAATGGAGGGAGCTTCTTGTTCCTGTGCCTATTTTGGTAGCAGTAAAACTACACAGGCTTTGCAATCTTGTCAAACGACACCCTAAAATATGCTGATTTACATGTTGGTTTTCCCAGTTGCTGGAAATAAGGATCTTCCAGGGAGTATTAAGCCACAGTGAACTTTAAGCCAATTTATTTCTGAATGAGAGCATTCCCATAGGTATGTAACAAGCTTTGGTTTCTGCATGGTAATTTCACGCTTTTAGCCTCCTTAACTTCTCAGTGGTCCCCCATGTAGAGCTGTACCAACTGCATTATTGTTTTCATTATTTTGAATTTAAAAATTAAGGGGAATGTGAAAAAAGCAAATAAGGCTAGAAAAAGTGCTTCAAAAGTTTGCAGCTCTTACACATCTCAACTTCCTCAGTATCTAGGCACTGTGACTAAGCCAAATTCTTCACAGAGCAGTGGCAGATCTCTGCCATCACACTTTTTCTAGACAATTGTAGGTTTCTGTTCAGCACAGATGCACATTAAAGCAACTGCTTGGGCTATTTTGACTTGATGCCATGCACCCTCTTTTACAGAGGTATTCCAAGGCACGTTAATCCCAGCGCAACATGCCAAGAGCACTCCAAAGGCAGGGCACTCTCTGGACTCTGCTTCTCTTGCACTGCACTGGAGTGGAAGGGGGTGGGGGCGGTGGCAGCGGGTAGTGAACCATGGTGACAGATCTGACAGCTGCAGAAGCAAGAAGCTTAGGCTTTGAGACAAAGCTCTGCCTCCCAGCCATCTGGGAGGCAGCTCTTTCTCCTTGGCTTTTCTGGTAGGTGTTGCCACTCCGGCTGCCGGGGCATGGTCTGCTGCCTGCGAGCCTGTGCGGGCTCTTCATCTGCTATTAGGTTGCAAGTGTCTGCTTGCTACCATATGGCTGCATTGAAAACACTCAGAGAGGAGAATAAGCTGTAAAGCAACAGTAACAATTCTGTTCAGTGCTCTTCCAAGGTGAGAGGGTTACTGGCTCACCCTCCTCTTCCCCTAAATCCTTACGGCTACTGGTCTAAATAGGTACACCTGCACCAATTAAGCCTCTGTCACTTCCCCACTGAACTGCTCCAAGCAAAGACATGCTTCCCTGCTTGACACTCTGAATCCTGTGTAATCCAGGGGGTTCTTACCCTCTGCTACTGGAAAAAGGAGGCTAAAGGAGGAATTAAGAGAGGTGGGATTTGCTTTGATTGAGATATTTTGGAAAATTTACCTGGCTTGCTGGATTGATCTGGAGAAGCTGTGGAGGCTCTTCTGTCCTCTGAAAGAGGCTAATTCTCTCGCACCACAATAGGAGAGAATCGTGTAGCAGCGTCACCAACAACAGAAAGAGGTTATTTTGCAATATAATTGTCGGTATGGCTAAGAAGAGCAAATGCTTTCCTTGTTCCCCATGGAACTAATAAAGAAAGGCAAGTTGAGGAGTCTAGGATAATTATTTAGTAATCTTAAATATTTATGAGCTACAGTATGTGCTACATGCAATTTAACAGGGACTTGACAATTGCAACATACATCATCTTGTTTCACAGGGGCTAAAAATACTTAATCTTACTCCTTTAAAATAAAATCATTCATCCTAAATATGTCTTTTGCTAAGAATGAAGCTGTAAACTGTGAGACGAAAGAGAAGAATTTTCTTTTCTTTTTTATCGTTGCAAACATGCAGGTTGGGGAAACCACTGCAGGAATAAAAGTTTTGTTGAGAAGATTCTATGTGAGCTTTCTGAGAGTGGTGATGGTGGTAGGGGGGTGTGTAATTCTTGATGTTAAACAGTTTGCCACTGGCTTCACCACGATCTCGGGAATTTTGCTCTGTTTAGTAGGCTGGAAAAGGGATAGACTTTCCAGCTTTGTTTTGGTGACAGTAAAATCATTGCTGCAAATCCAAAGAATCAGTTACATGGGATAACTCTCCCCATACTATCTATTTACAGGACTCTGGAGCCACAAATCCATAACACAAAGTTTCTTCTCTCACTTTTTCTGACTTTCACATGGTTTTCTGTTCCATGTGTGACTTGGTGCACAGCCCTTAATGGCAGCTTCCACTGCTCATGGAATCAGACATACTAGAACTTAAGTTTTCTAGAACAGGCTGCTTTATTTTGGGTATTACAAGTGCTAGAACTGACTTTCTGAATTCTGGATATCATAATTTCTGTCTGCATCATAATCTCCAAATTAGTAGTGGTAGTAATAATAAAACCTTGGTTACATGGGCTTATAGTAGGTAGTTGTTAGTTCATTTTGATGAGAGCAGCACTGATGTGGAAGAGACCTATAAGGTCTCTGTTTCTTATTTCCTCACAAGTTGCACAGTAGACAACTTTGTAAGCATGAATGGATTTGGAACTCTGTGGAACTCCATTTGCAGCTCTGTGTGCAGTGTACTTGAAAATGTTTCACTACTGCTGAATTTGGCAGCAAATTTAAATTTTGGCCCTTAAAATTGGCGATTGTCTTCATCCATTGTGATAGCTCAAGAGTGGCCAGGATTAGAGCTACCAGGCATTTGGGTTTCCTCAGACATATCTTACTTTTCTGCCAGGAAATTTTGTCTAGGAGTAATTTGAATGCCTTGGCTTTAGAATAGAATGCAAGTCTATGTATGCACCTAGAGTAAGTTTGCTTGCTTTGTGATACCTGGGATTCAGTGTGCATGCATATATTAAATGCACAGAGGCATGTCCAAATAACCAAGTGCTCTGAGAGCTTCTCTGCTGAGCAGATGTGCATTTGCTGCTCAGTGTCACAGGACACAGGTGAGTTGTGTGTGTAGCATGAGTGCCAAAGAGCTGCCTGGTACTAGAATTCCCTGTCTGACTGCACACAGTCAGCACATACATTTATTTATGCTCAGAAATCCATGGTCATGCTCTGAAAACAGTCTCTGCTTTGCATCAGTTATAACTTATGCATATTGAACAATCTGCATTGGAAATTATCAAGGAGAACAAATGTTCTCCACCCTAGCATCTGAAATACTTGATCTCTTTTGTGCCAAATGCAAAGTGTTATATGCTTTCACAGAAACGTGAGGCTTTTAATTTATTGGAATTAAAATGTAGACAGTGTAAACGGAAAGACATTGATTTTGGTCAGTGTAAATTGTATAGGTGGGCTGAATGTACTGCATATTGAACATCTCAGAGCAGGGAACCCAGGAGGTTGCAAATGTTGCAGCTCACTTTCCATTGCTGTAAAGTGGAGGGTTTTAAACAGAACATTTGCTTGAGCTTGTGCCTGCTGCATACCATGATACATGCTCACATCTTTCTGGCTCAGTGGCTGTAGCAGTGGAATCTAGAGCTTGCTGCAAAAAAAAAGAAAGACAGAAAAGATGAAGGAAAGCAAAATGTGCTTTCCAATTAGATAATGGCAAAATCATACTTGTACTTGTGGAGGGTCAGAAAGGTAACAGCTGAAGGAGTCAAATAATAGACAAATTGATGATGGTAACTAAGAAAATGTAAAAGAGACTCAATCTCTCTCTCACTGATAAAGCTGTTTGAGGTGCAGTAGATCAATTTAGCCATGACTGTTGTTAGGAAATTGCTCTTGTTTGATGTTCCACAAGCAGATCATGCAGTTTCCTAGGAAACATCTTTTTCCACTTAAAATCTAATTTTCTTACATTGCTAGAACTGATGAGTCACCCTGCCTGGCTTTTACTTACTTCCCCTTACCTATTAAAATGTACTCACCAGATAGAAATCCAGGGATTTATTAGTCTTTATCACTTGGCTGTTCAATTAACTCTTCTGAGTCCTCTCTGTTATCAGACGGCATGCTTGATATGACAGAACAAAAGTCATAGGTTAGAAGACAATCAAAATCTGAAATAAATTATGGATCCCTTAATGGGACAGGCCTCCTAAGCTGTGAAGAATTCCCACTGAATGACCTCCATTATGACCTACTATGAAATTCTCCATGTTCCTTTGCCAGTAACATGCCATCATATTTTCATTACTGTTTTGTTAATAATTCCCTTATTCAGCTGATTTATGAGTCGGCTTCAACTTAGCAATGACAATTGCAGCCAGTTACTGTCAGAAATTGAGTAGATTCTGTAAAATATTGCAAACTATGGTTAAAATCTAAAAGCCTCACTTCTGGTTTCAGCATTCTGGAGATGCTGAATTTTAGTTTTATGTAATGTATGGCACTTAGGCTGAATGAAAAGTTGCCAGAGAAAGAGGCAAGGCTTATTCATGGCTGTGGTCAGAGGAACAGAGGTCAAAGAATGGGTTGGCAGCCTGAGTTTTCAGTGACTTGTGCAATTAGTTCCAGTTTCCCAATACAAAGGTAAATGCTACAATTTACTGTTACCTGTTTGGGCTATATATAAAATCCTTGTAGTTTGCAGATGCCTAATGAGCCCCTGTGGCAACATCATTAATAAAAGGTTGGTCCAGCAGAATACAGCTTCCATAAAATTCTCCATGGGCTAGAATTCTTATCCTTTTTCCATATGCAGCTGTGCCATAATCAGTATTCCTGCTGTTCCCCAGTGCCTCTGATGCCTCAGTTTTCAGTATCTTACTGATGTGCCAAACCCTAGATAGTAATGCTGTGAAGCTTCAGCGGCTGACAAATGGTTTTGTATTCAGAGGGCAGTCTCTCTGCAAAAGTAAGGCTCAATGTGACACTACATCCCAAGAAGAGGATGGGTAAAATAATTTCCCACTCTAACTTTGTTTTAAAACTTATGAAATTTTTGATGTAAGATTTTGGTGTAGTTGTTTATTACTGGATGACATACTTGTATCTTACTGTGTATCTATTTGTCTCTGCTAGCACATGGCTTGTTCAGCTGCAGCTGGTGAGTGGGTGGCCTTATCGTATAAAGCTATGCATAGTGCTTAAAAAATTTGGTAGGCTTATCACTTGCATTGGCTTGCACTAGGTTTTGCTTATATTTCCTAAATATTAAAAATTAGAAGGAATGACCATGGCTTTCAAGCGGATGTTTCAAAGTATCGGTTCAAAGCAGTTTCTCTAAACTAACACTAGATAATGTAGTCTGTGGAAATGGTTCTTACACACTTGTGATCTTTTAGACTTTTAAAAACTGTCTTTTTCTTAATTAAAAGCTTTGACTTCTTATGATGAATTCAATTAAAACAGGCCTTTCAAGCTAAATTTCAAGTTATGATAGTTTTGAGGATTTTAGGGACTAGAAGACTGAGTTTCAGCAGGACATAGGCTAAAAAAGTTCACCTGGCCCAAAGAGCAACAAGGTTCAAGCCATTAATTTCTAGTTTGATGGCTGTGTTTGCACCCGAAAGGCATGTGAAATATCAACAGAAGGATGCTATGTGATGTAGACTTCAGTGAATGTAAGTTTTTCTGTTTTTTCTGGTTTATAGATTGCACATTTGCTTTGAAACCTTGCAAATGTGAAAGATGACCTTCATTCAGAGTCTGGACTCCTGGAAAATTTTGTGTGGAATTGTATTGGTGGCTTTTACTTATTTATTTTTTAATGAGTTACAGGAAAGGAGAGGCAAGGGAATAATAAAAAGGACATGCTTTAATGTTGTAATTGCTAAATGAAGTATTTGCTAATACTCACCCAGGCTCTGGGACTCACCTGTGAGGAGGGAAAATACATTGAGCCATACTCAAGCCATTGATTGCAGGCATTTGCTGAGGCCATTTGCCATAAATTAACTTTCTGTGCTATGCTACAATAAACTCAGTATAACTTTCTCACTCTTTTAAACAACAAAACAGGTTGCATCAAAACTCTGGCAGCAGAACCTACTGCTTCCAGATAAAATGATGAAACTACTGGTAATTTAGGAGAACTGGCTGCTGCACTCCCCTTTTATTCTGCTGGTGATGTTTAAGTGTACTTAGGTCTTTCATTCCTGTCTCTAGCTGTCTGTCTCCTCCTTGATTAACAATTGTGGTATACCACTGTGTGCTGCCTGTGCAGCATCTGGTTCAGGTGTCTGTCGCTCCAGGGGCTGGTTGCATCTGGGTATGACATGAAATGCCAACCTGATGTCTTTTATCCCGATCAGTGGCTCTTCTTGGTTTAAGGTGAAGGCAGTCGAATTATAGCTTTATTTACTTATTTGTGGAAATGTGCTGAATGTCTCAGGAAAACATTCCTAATAGAGAACAAAGGCTTTTTGCCGACCTGCGGGTTACCAGAGTCATTCACATTCCAAACCACTGATCCACTGCAGAAGCTGTCCCCAGACCACAATTTGTTGTCAAGGAGTACATCAAAAAAAAGGCTAATTTATAAAACTTATGCAAAACATCAGCTCTTCTTGGTTCTTCAGTTCATATAAACTTTTCCCCTTGTTTTGATTCACATGGGTCATGCCTGTGTGTTAAGATCAAAATGAAACAAAATTTTCTCTTGGTCTCCAAGAGAGTAATAATTATATGTTTTTTTCATTTCTTATCCAACCATTTCACAAACTGCACATTTATTATAGCAAGACATGCAGAAGGCCTCAGCTCTGCTGAAAATATTCATGCAGTTGTTGACCAGTAACATAGCATGAATAAGTGTATGTAATTTATATGTATAGAACATCTAAATCCTGTTAAGCCAACAAAGTCTATTGCTGAAAATTCTCACCATTTGTTCTGTTTCTTTGTCTAACCTGTTGGCAGAAAATCGTTTAGCCTAACCTTAGTGTAGCTCATGCCATCTCTGTATAATCTTTACTTCTCTTGCATTTGTGTAGTGAGAAGTCATTCTTGTCCAGAGACACTCTTGAGATTCTGGAAGTAAGGCCAGAACTTTTCTCTTATGGATGCAGTATTGCTCTTGGAGAAAAATGGAACTATGCTCCCTGTACTAATGATATAATTATGGGTCTCTCTTCCAGGAGTAGAAAGAAGATATTAGTTGTCATAATGTGCAGGAACTTGGGCTTGAAAGCAAAATTTATAGAGAAGATACAAAGGAATAATTTCTACTAAATAAGGTAGGTCTTGGTGAATAATAGCATGCAAATATATGCTTAATGAATGTAATCTTTACACTTATAGAAGTGCTTTTTTTTTTTTTTTGTTTTGTTTGAGGCTGTGTGTTTGAAGCCTTTTGCTGTAATGCTGATTGCAAGTATTTGAAATGTAGTTATTGAAATTTGATCTCTCATTTAGGGGTAGCAACAAATCACTTACTGTTGTTTCCACTTCCTGACTATATTATCAGAATTCTTCTAATCAGTGCAATGTCTTAAGAATGCTACTGGGAATTTTAATCTATCCTTCTGAATAACAGAAAAAAATAGAGGATTAAAAAAAAAATTGCCAACCACTTTGTCAGTCCTGTGTGTCCAGCCCTTTCCTGAAGCATTGCACTTAAGACATTTTATTTCCTTCCCAATATATTGGTTTCACACAGTGTTTAATATTTACCTTGTCACCATATTTGCACAAAAGCATTACATATGCAAGTATGGTCCTAATTGAGATAGATATTTTTCTACCTTTTTAATTAGTTCTATAGAGGTCTTTGAAGGGGTTTACAAACTTAGATTATGCAGTGTCCCAATTGCATAAAATCTATTGCTTGTCTTTTATTCATATGCATGCTTAAGATTACTTGTCTTTGTGTGCATATGAGAATAGGTATTGATTCCTTGACAGTCTATGTTAAGCAAACAAAAACCCAAAGGAAATAAGTTTTCAAGCCTTTGTGACAGGTTTTGCTGTGTTTGCTGTGTTTAGAGATGAATAGATGAAAGATTTGAGATAAAATAGAGGAACCTCAAAGAATTAGTGAGATTTAAGTTTTAGCCAAGGTGAAAAATTTTCAGTATCTTTCTAGGTTTGTCCTGGAAGTAAACATTCCAAGCCTCTACAACTGAATGAATAATCTTCCACTTTAAAATTGATATGTTCAAAACTCCTTACTTTTGGGATACATACACATCAACATTATTCTTCAAAATTTTGCTGTTTTGTTCCCCCCTCCCATGACCTACCCCACCCCCATGTTTCTTCCTACCCTAGGAGGTGGAAAGTAGGATGAAATATGGATTCACAGGAGCAACATGCACAGTTACCATACACAGATAGTGCTACCATAATGATTCATCAAAACAAGAATTCAAAATTGGAACATTTCAGAATTGGAAATTACCAAAATTTAGGATTTTCTAAGTTATGAGGAATTAATTTTTTAACCTCAATAATGCTATTTTAGTAGAGTTCTTATTTAAGAGGTGGTTTTAAGCTGCTTAGAACAGCAATCTCTCCTCTTCCCTCATTTTGTTTTTGTACTTTACCATCATACAAGACAGTTTTAAAAACCATCAAGAGAAATAGGTTCTTCAGGCTGATGGCTCCAAAGCCTGGTACCAGAACAAAGGTGGTGCAGTGTCAGATCTTTGTTCCGTGTGTGAACAAGTACCCAAAAGGGGAATGAAACATTTTCTATGTTGTGGAGATTTGTTGGTGACTTGGAGTGGTGAGCTTCAGGACTCTTTTACTCTGATCTGGTTGAGGAAGAATGTGTCACGTGCCCTTTTGCTCATTTCCTCATGATAACATCTCTACAATCCCTTGTGCTTCTGGGTTGTCTGAGTTCTTTTTATTCTTTGATATAGATGATTTGCATTGGAAGGAACCTTCAAGATCATCTAGTTCCAAACCCTTGCTCTGGGCAGGAACAACTTCTTCCTCACTAGAACAGTGAGGAAGGTGCTCAAAACTCCATCCAGTCTGACCTTGAATGCTTCTAGGGATGGGGCATGCACAACTACTCTAGGAAACCTCTTCCAATGCTTTACCACCCTTTCAGGAAAGAATTTATTCCTAATGTTTTCTCTAAGCTCACCCTCTTTCAGTTTAAAGCCATTCCCCTTGTTCTGCTACTGTACACCCTTGTTAAAAGTCCATCTCCAGCCTTCTTGTAGGCCCGTTTTGTACTGGAATGTGCTTCCTGTTTTCTTCTCCAGGCTGAGCAACCCCAGCTCTCTCAGCCTCTTTCTACAGAAGAAACCATCTTTGTGGGTTCATCTGGACTTGCTTCAATGGGTCTATGCTTGTCTTACATTGGGGCCCCCAGAAGTGGATGCAGCACTCCAGGTGGGGTCTCATGAAAGTGAAGTAGAAGGTGAAAATCACCTTTGACCTGCTGGTCACACTTCCTCTGGTGCATCCTTTTGGCCTAGCTGTATACAGGAGATCCATTTCAGCTCTTCAGTGGGTGCTTTTTACTGCCAAATACTTTCTTTTCAACCTTGCCTTCCTCCTATGAGCCTGAAGGTTTCACTTCTGACAATCCATGTGTTGCTCCCCATGCCCTTCACCAAGTTCCTGCTCCCATTTCTCTCCACTCCTTCCTCTTGTAAGATGTTCCCTTCTTTGCTACTTCCATGTACCACACTAACCATGTTTCTGATTCCCAGTTCTCTTATCAGCCTCCTTCCCTGCTCTTATTCTATTACCTCCTCTAGGGAGATCTCACAAGTATGATTACCAGCTCTGTGTGTGATAAATATTTATTCATCTACCACCTTACATAGCTGGGTCTGATTTTAGTGAACTTGAAGGTGGTCAAAATAAGAGACAAAACTTGAATGAATTATAGAAAGCTATTTGCTGCCTTTGTGAAGCTGGTTGCTTTGTTGGGATTTTTTTAACATGTTTTTTGATTTTGTTTTTATTGTTTTCAATTTGATTGGTTGGTTGGTTTTGGTTTTTTTTTTTTTTTTTTCCTGAGTATTTAGTTGTATCAATTTCAGATATAAATATTATGTGGAGGCTGCTCTTGGTGCCCCCATTTTTCTTGTGAATAGTTTTGTTTCCCAGCCCAAGATGGGATGTCTGGCAAATGACCTTCCCCTAAGGGTCCTTTCATTTGTGCTGAAAAAGGCAGAGCTGGAATTAGACTCAATGTAACTGTCAAGGCAATGCTGCACCCAAGTTAACAGTGACCTACTAAGTAATGTGGCTATAATGCTATTTTTTTTCTCCATATAGCACTAGAGTGAGGGGATAGTCTCAGCTATAATGTGTTGCAAAGTGTGGACCATGGAAATTTGCTGCGCTATAACTATTCACCAGCTTTAGGGTGAGTGCAGTAGCTGCGTGCTAAATGCCCACTATTAACAAATAATTTATAGCCCAGGTGAATCTCCAACAAAACATCACCAATCTCATGTGCTAGCTGTGTGACAGCGATAAATATAGTAATCTCCAGGGCCTTCTTACTTCCTGCCTGCCAACTTCATAATGTGGAGACCTTATCACATATAGTATGGCAATGTGTGTCTTTCCCCTGAGCTTCCTTCCAGGCATTGGGACTCTGGTCATCCTTTTGCCCAGGAGATTTTATAAGCTTGACACCTTCGTTGAAGGCAGAGCATATGAAAATGCACTGCAATGCAGCATGTGGTATGAAAATGATTTTAAATTCTGTCATTATCACAGTTTAGTATTGTGGCCAGAGCTTTTCCTTAATTACTCCCTAGAGGGAAAAACTGCTGATACTATAACTAGATTGAGGCCATCTACTAAACCCAAGCCCTTTTTTAATTCTGAAAATTAAATATTTAGTGTCTACAGGAGCATTTTGTTAAAAATAAAAAGAGAGACAGAGGAAGAAACAAGTTTGAGGGGTTCAGTTCATCGCCTCATGGGTGTGGGTTGGCAGATATGGATGTGCATTGCTTCAAGAGGTCAGACTCCCTGTTGGTAAAAGCAATCAGATATCTGACTCCAGACAGGTTAAGAAGGTAAATTTTAGTTATGTATATTACAAGACTGCATGGCTCTGAAAGTTGAATTTCAGGAGCCCAGCAGCAGTCATTTTATCTATACCCTCTCACTTTAAAGAGATTGTGATTTTTTAAGCCTCAGCTGTAGAGGACATTTTATGTGAACTCCATAGACTTCAGAGCATTAAATTTGCTCTGAATGTCTTTTTGATATCTTAGACCAGCATATTCTAGCCTTGATTTTAACCTCTGCTTTCGTGTGTCATCCTATATGACGATGAAACTTTTTCTTGACTTTCCTATGCTGCTCTATTCGTAACTTCCATTTCTCCATATTTCCATGTACTCTTTTTCTCCATCTTCTTTAAATAGTTTTACAATGAATAACTGTCTTAACAAGGTGCATGTACTTTCCAAGTAAGAGCTGTCCTGAGGTCATTAGCTCTTAGTCTAGTAGATGACATTCTAGCAGTGATGAGATCTTGGTATTACTCTTAATCTTGCCTCTAATTGGGTGTACAATTTTAGGTAAGTCTTGTCTGCTGGCATCGATTTCTAATGAAGGGGAGATTAAAATTGACAGTGGTAACTTGGCTGAGGAATGATCTGGCACACAGGGCAAGAAGACCCAACTACATGAAGGGGTTAAACTGGCTGAAAAGAATACCAGAGGCAGAACAGATTCCTTGCAAGAGTGGAAAATTTCCCTTGGTGGTGGGAGCAAAAACAGCTTCAGCATTGTCTTGCAGCCATTGTGGATTGCAAGTGCTCAGGGGCCACCTTTGGGCAGTAAAGCCAGGGCTGGGAGGAGGTGCCCAGTGCAATAGCTCTCAGGATAGCGCTAGTGCAAGAGTATATAAGGAATCTGCTTGTGGCACATCTTTTCAAGCTCCACATTTGAACTGCATAGTGTGGTAGGACTCTGCCCAATGCATGGTTTATTACATTTTTCTTTTATGTTCAAGTATACAAATGTGGTTTTAATTCATCTCGAGGGATACCATAATTATTCCTTAACACTTTCTTAGTGTTTTTCTCCTCCACGTATGGTTTTCCTTTTTCAGTATGAAGGACTCTCTTACCATGTGATTTTGATGTGGTTTTACACAGGAAAACACAAACTTTTCTGGGGCTTAGTGCTGATGGTAAAGGACAACTGAGAAAAACACACTGAAATAAGATTCACAAGATGAACTCAGCTTTTCACAAATTAAAATAAACTCAGTTCAGCTAGCAACATTTTTCTGGAATTCAAA